GCAAAATTTAGCAAATGGAGCTGTTCTTAAGTGGAATTGTTCTTAAGTAGGGACGTTCTTAAGTAGAGACCCCACTGTAAGCGACCCCAAATGACATGAGATTTAAAATAGCTCATATACATTGAAAAGACCAGTCTTGCTTAACTTGAAAGAGAATGGTTAGTCCCAACCACTTTTCATTTACAGAGGTGCCCCACATAGCGACAATTAATCCGTTCCGGATTAATCATCGCTATGCGGAATCATCACTAAACGGAACTAAAAACCCCATAGGAACGCATTAAACTTCGTTTAATGCATTCCTATTGGGCGAAAACTCACCGTTCAGCGAAGATCCTCCATAGCGCCGCCATTTTCGCCGCCTCGGTAAGCGAGGAAACCGCGCGAAAATGCTTGCGGCAGCCATTTTGGGCACCCGGCGGCCATTTTGGAACCGCCGATCAGCTGTTCTAAAAACATCGTAATGCGAAGATCGGTAAGCGAAACACTTACCAATCATCGCAAAGCAATGTTTTCCCATTCAAAACATCGCAATGCGATCACATTAGTGATCGCAAAAAATAGATCGCTATGCGGATTCGTCGTTAAACGGTGCACTCGTTATGCGAGGCACCACTGTATTTGGAAATAATCTGGACTGTAAGGGTTGACCCAATGGTCCTCCAATGGGAGAAATAGCTATTTTGTTATCATACTGAGCCTGCTTGTAAAGATGTAAAGAATTACAGGTCAATAAAAGTTCACTATTATAGAGTAAAAAAAGCAGTTTTACTTGCAAGTAATGCAGTGACATTTCTCCAGAAATGAGTTAATTTCATCCCACCCTGTCTTTCTTCACTGTCCATCTTTTACATAGCATAGTTTCCACTGACAATCATTGGTAATTCCCATGGCAAGTCACAGGCCTATTTGAAAGCAAAGGGACTTTTTTTTTGAGAACATGCAGGGAAAATGTTTGTAGATCAAGGGTTTGGAAACTAGAAGATCACTTTCTGGTCTGCACTGTGGGGCGCAGGTATGGTGCAACATTAATCTGCCTGTGAAGCTGAAGGATGTGCATCTTTCTTTGTTGTATGTGTTGCACCCACTTATGCTTTGGTTTCATCTTCCATTAAATCCAAAACAGCCTTTCAAAATATGTTGGCACAGAGGGACTACAGCCACATCCCAACTGTTCTTGGTCCTGACCTTCCCCATATCACATGGTTATCTTCTGGATTCATCTAATAACAATACAGTGGTACCTTGACTTATGACCGTCTCTACTTGCAAATGATTTGAGTTACGAACAGCTCAATTCGCAAAATGTTGCTTCGACTTGCGAACGGAGCCTCGACTTACGGGCAGAAAAAAAACCCGAAAAATTTTCCCTTTTTTTGACATAAGTTCATCGTAGGTCAAAAGAAGAAAAAAAAATTAAAATTCCCCCCCTAGTGATAGAGTACGGATTAACCGGCTTTGCATGAGTTCCTATGGGAACTAATGCCTCTACCTACGAACAGCTCCTCAACATACGAAGGAAAAACAGCCTGAACGGATTAAATGGCTTTCAATGCATTCCTATGGGAAATCTTGCCTCGACTTATGAACTTTTCGATGTATGAACGCCATTCCAATAAGGATTAAGTTCGTAAGTCGAGGTACCACTTTAATCATATGCCATCCAGTCAATTCTGACCTATGGCAGCCTTTTTCAAGGCTTTCCAAGTAGAGAGTACTCAGAAGTGGTTTACCATTCCCTTCTTCTGGGGGCGGTC